TTGCTGTTGTTTCTCACAACTTGAAACTGTTATCGTATTTTCCCTCACGAAGAGAGATTATGTTGAAAATTTTCAGCTCTTGGTTATTTGCGTCAACTCCATCGTCCTCATAGTTGGCCGGTCAGCTGCGGCAGTGCGGGCTTACCGTTCAAATTGAGCCGTCTGTTTTTCTCGGTACTGTGTATGACTAGTAAACATCGCTTTAATTTACAAGTACAAAATATACTTCCTATTTGTCGGCCTTCTAAAATTTAATCCCTATCTTTGTTCCCGCTAAACCCTGCTATCAAAGGCCTCCAGATAGTTAGTGTCAGTTCCGTCTTTCCTTATTCCTCTTCCTTGAAACTTCCTCGCTGGTGATAATAGTTTACTCGCAAATAGTCTGGCATAAATTACTCTTAATTTTTAATAACGTTGAACTTTAATTGTAGCGAGACCATCGGGTGTTGGTGGGGGGATGTATGGAGGGAAGGAAGGGTGGTGAGGGTCGGGTGTCAGTGTCTCAAGTAGATCTGGGTAATAATGTCCGGGAGGGGCTGAGATCCTCACTAGGAGGGGGAGGGTGGTGTGAGGGCCATTGTCGGAGGGCGGGGGCTGGCGGCACAAGTGGTAGGGTGTTATGGCTTCCCTAGTTGTCTTGTGTTACGCTGCCAACAGTCTATATGTTTGAGAGAGTGAGTGTGTAGGGCAGGCTAGGAATGGAGTGTGTAGAGCAGGCTTGTATAGAAAACCCTTTTTGTAAACACTCGATAAAGAGCTATAGTGTGTGATCCCTGATAAAGTTAGACATGAGAGGTTAAGTATAAAGGATCGACGTGATATAGGAAGAAGGAAGATAAACGTTGGGGATAGTAGGAGTGAAGAGAGACAGGAAAGACGCCACGTGCAGGTCTCGTGACAAGTGCATATCGCGTGGCACGACCCTTACCCCCCCACCCCACTTGACCCCACACACACATCCGCCTGGACCACGCCTTACTTCCGGGGTCCCTCACTATTGTTGACGGTTGTTGGTCACCTATGATCACGACCGCCACCTCAGCCATTACCACAAGTTTATCATTTCTGGTCATGCGTCTTGCCTTACAGGTGCGTGGTTCCCTCGTTGATAATTTCAGTGGAATTCATGCATTGCCATGTCTCTCTCACCAACGAACTGGCGCGAACAAATTGTCTTCAAAATGTATTGCAGTTTGTTGTTTTCGTGGTTGAGGTTTCAATTTGAGGATGTTAATATGAAATTAGTCTTTATTACACAAAAATAGTTGTATGATTTTGGAATATGTATGATGACAAAGGTAACATGCAATTTGTACTGACGATAACAGATATATTTTATGGCTTGTGGACATTGTCAGGTATTAAGTTAACCGTCTACTAGGTATCTAGTTTGTTTAAAATTACTCTCTGTATTTTGTTTTTCATTTCGTACGTAGTTTATGATCACATAATTTCGATCTTTCCCCCAGAAAATGTGTTTGTTATAGTTTAGTGGTCTCTTCACCTGTGGGAACGAGGAAAGGTACCGAAGTTGATTTATTTAGAAATCGTGGAGTAACTGATACACCTGGAAAATATTGCATGATACAGTACGTAGTTTGAGAGTCTAATTAATTTATAATTGGAGTGAAATAAATGGTACAGCACTATGAAAATATAAATCCACCCTTTCATGTCAAGAAAACAGTGACAGTGTAACATCTGGGATCTAAGGATTTTGAGGTAAACACTAGTTCACATAAGAAACATTGTGAACACTGACAGCACGTGTAAGAAGGTACTAGATAAGCTCCTGGGTTGTACCTAATGAACCTGACAGCAGTGAGTCCGCTGGGTTGTGGGGTCTGGCTGCCAAAGAAATAGCTTGGTCGACCAGAGGGTCACAATAGTAGTTGCGGTGTATACTATCCATGTTTGTCCGTTTGCAATCTCCAGTTACAGTTTTGAAGATAGCTGAAATATGGTCATGCTCCTGCATCCCAGGAGTGTCCCGATGGGATTTTATGGTCGATCCCATTCCCAAGGGTGGAATCCCCTCATAAAAAAATACGTATAAATTTGCGGGGTAGACCTGCACCTAAAACACAATGTAGTTGATTGTGTAACTGTTTCGGTGTAGTGTAGTGGAAGTAGTGTATCTACTTCTGACAATGAAGTGTCTTGGGTTGTGTTGATAAGTGGTATCATCCCAAGGTGTTGCCAGCCACGTTATCAACTTTTTCGGGTATTCATTTTAGTTGTTACTTGGTCACGCGCCCTCTTGAATAGAAATATTATTTTAAGAATAAGGGTAGTTGTGGACTTCCCGAAATATTATGAGTAACTAATGGGAGAAAGAGACAAGTTGTGTGTTCCCAAGAACCACAGCTGTTGCGGATGAGGACTGATGAGGAGTCAACTGGCATCCCGTTAAGTGTCGAGGCTCACCTACACCTACACAACAGGATCCATCAAAGAGAATCCGGATACAACCCCGTGTGCACAGTGCGTTTATGACACCAGAAGCGCCATTTTTGTACCATTTTAACTTCACTATTTGCAGAAAGTTGATTGTGATACCTTTCTTATCCGCAGGCAGTCGTTTTTGTTTGTTAGTACATCCTTCAACTGTGTGTACATCCTTCAGCTGTGTGTACATCCTTCAGCTGTGTGTACATCCTTCAGCTGTGTGTACATCCTTCAGCTGTGTGTACAATCGAAAACAAAACTCGTGTCGCGGTTTTGTCCGAAGATTAAACATAACTCGTGAAGCATTATGAGAGCCCTACCACAAGGCAGAGCGCACCAAAAGTTTAGCCCTTCGGCATATGTTTTCACCAAATTTCACGACACGACTTTTGTCTTTCATTGTACAGTACATCCTTCCGCTGTGTGTGCATCCTTCTGTTGTGTGTACAAGAAGAACCACAAGAGCTAGATTGCTGTTATTAGTAATAATATCTCCCACAGGGGTACTTATCTTAATAAAATACAGTATAGGTGGTATAGGCAAAATTATTTTGTATCTCCCAAGGTTCTTCGGCTCGAACGATTACCCTACCCTCCGTGGGAAGGTGTCGGTAACCTAGCTTTCGTGACACAAAAGTTTGTGTGGCCATCCGACACAAACCGTCGTATTTACACGCGCTGTATTCCTAGTTACAGGCTCAGCGTCGTGTGGTTGCTTCCCGACACACGATGCAACGTGATCGTCAGGATCGTCGTAATGACCAGGAATCCGGCCCTCGAGTAACAGCACTCAGTCAATCCTCTGTCGTGATTGTCATTTATATTTTTTCGTTAATTGCGGCTTCATATACAATTTCTTCTAATATTCGTTGTAAAATTCTTTTAACTTAATTAAGGAGTATTTTTTTAAGAGCATCGTGAATACAACTTTCAAGTTTAAGTGTAGGCCTTTTTAAAGTTGGGGTAACTTACGGATTTGAATGCAGCGCTTATGGGGTTATTTGTGAAGTTTATATTTGAGCTTCAACGTCAAATATGACTCAACTAGAGTACCGTGTGACTCTTGTATGTTTTAATGTCTCATCGAGGATCAACCTAGACAACTTACAAGAAGTCGGCCGGGTGTGAATAAAGCGTTAGTGAGGTAGAGGATGATCCCCAACGTGTGGGTGAATCACCACATCCTGACTTGCCCAGACTGCGTCACATCCTAGTCTCCCCTCCGCCGACACCTGACCGTCAAGAAGATCCTTGTGTTTAGTCTTGCTGCCCTGCAGTCCTCAGTCTTTTCCCGAAAGTTGCTGCTTTCTAAATATCTCCAACACTGTTTTTAATAGTATAAGGTGGATGCAGTGTATTGTTCTTGTTAATGCATCATCATTTATTGTTAAGACATGTTACACACGGTACTTTTACTATTTTATTTAGCTAACGCCAGACGATTTTATTCGATCTCCACTAAGACACGCTGTACACTAAATGTTGTCAGCATTGTGTTCTTACTACAGTACATGCTGTGCTTTAAATATCGCTAGTAAAGTATTTTAAACTGGAAAGATGATGCAGTCTATATGTTGCTATATCGTCACCACAGCATTCTAATCCCTTCTGCTCTGTGATGACGATTGGTTAATGTATTTTTGTTGTTGTAAAAGTTGGTAATAATATAATTCAGTGAGTGGATAACAGCTTACTCGGAATCGCCCTCTTACAGCCTGAAGAAAGACGATGATTCATAGTCGTAATTTACATTGTTCTAATTAATTTGTTTATTCTCTCATAGCTTGACTTCTGAGGGGTGAGTGTGTGTATGAGCTGTAGGTGGTAGGGTAGCTGTGTTTTTTTTTATGACGTGGGCAGCGTAACAGTAGGGCACTCACAGACGTGGCGTGGCGGGGGGTGCGGGTGTTTTGATTGAAACATTTGAGATAGAGATGACACACACAGTCCAGTGCATCAGACTGGTGTAAGAGGCGGGTGTATGGGTGTTTTCCTGGTCATGTGGGTAGCAGATTTGTAGCGACGTTAATGAGCAGCGGGCGAGGAGACGTTCTTAAAGAGTATAATTATAAGAACGCGAGTGGCATAGTAGGGAACGCGTCTTTGTTTACATAAGAGCGCTCGTGCTAGGGCGGTTGTGGCCGGGCTTTGGTAGATCCCTTCCTGTCTCACTCAAAGCTTTTACTCTGTCGTGTTGGTCTGGTCTTTCTTGATTGTTTATTTTTATTTACTAATTGGAGTAACTGGCATATATCTTATGAATGTTCCTTCATAACGTAGGTCTATAGCTGAGATTTGCTTTGTATCCACATAATTGTTTCTCTAAATGTTTTGGTTTGTTCATTCTTTGTGTTATGATGTATATCCACTCATGGAAAAACCACGCTGTGTAACTTACTAACACGGGTTGGCTTACCAAGCGTTTCCTGAACCATTCTACTGGACTGATAACAGCTGGAATATTAATTGAGTATAACACACACACACACACACACACACACACACACACACACATGATCAAACATGTTCTAACTGTTCTTGTTCCACGACAGCCACCCGGGACTACGACGAGTTGAAGCAGCGCTACATGGAGACCACCCATGCCGCTGAAGCTATCCAGGTTCGCCTCGAGGAGAGCGAACACGACCTACACAACCTCCGGAGCGGTAGGTCACACCCTTTCCTGTTCTCTGGCCTCTCACTACCGACCCTGACCCCTCACCCTCGTTTCCCCTCACCATGTTGACACAGTCTGGTGGCACGTGTACTCCCTCATCCTCCACACATGATCTGTTCCCTCATTATGGTTCCCACGACGCCCATGAGCACACCTCGCCCCTGGCTTACTTACACAGATTCCATTAACTTAGTTAATTTTCCCATTGCATTTATATAAATTACCATATCATTAAACTCTGCAGTTATCTAAATCATGTCATTATAATATTTGTGGAAATACATTATTTTCCCCACGGATTCACATAACGGTTAAATTATCATTTTCATGTCGGGTTTATCAAAATCATTAAGATGTAATCATTTTCCACGGATTTACTCAAGTTATTATCAAGTTTCATGTGCGGAATATATTCAGTAGTGGCAGCGGAAAGGAGGACTCGCCAACTGAGAACGACGGCCCTCCATTCCAAAGGCTTTCAGTTTTTTTTGGGTGTCTTATCCACTCCTCCCAGATTTTGCATTTTTCCTGACCACAGCATTTTAATGAATTCGTCCGCTCCGGTCTCTACCTTTTCCTGGCCTTAATTTCCTCAGTGGTGACGTAAGTAACCTCAAAGTGCATTTTACGGTTCGAATGGTCATTTGTCTACGTTGGAATCATTTATTTACTCCAAATGTAAAATTCACCTACTTGGATCTGTTTGTTACATGTATTGTGTTTTTTTTCACGCTCCACCGGTAGTTTTTGTCAGTTTTAATTCCCTATTTCGCAAAGTGGGGCGTAAAGTAATGGTTTACGAAATACTGATTAAGAGAGAGAGAGAGAGAGAGAGAGAGAGAGAGAGAGAGAGAGATCATTAATTACAACCAATGATTTCAAATAGGCTTGGGCCTTAATAGGCCCTAACTTAACGACTAGAATTAAGCTAAAGGATGGATTAGGTGGTGGTGGGGGGGGGAGGGGGGTCCATTTGAACCTCGGCCTTACGGCCACTGTTAGATGCTGCTATAGTTCCCTCCTGTCGTCACTAAGGTCAATCGCCGGCCATAAAATAATCAGCGTTAACTCCTAATCCAACCTTCTTTAACACATGTTCCCAGAATAATGTATTTAACCTCCATAACTTAGGGTGATGGTGATTAACATGTAGTTTCTGTTTGTAAGGTTATCAGTATTATGAGGATATATGTGTGTATTCTCATCGGACGTGGAAGGCTGGAATTTGGTAAAACTCACTTCAAAAGGTATACTTTACGGAGGGGTTCGATGAATTTCAAAATGAACAGAACGACTCCTTTTGTCTTCGTTCGTTGTGTCGTATTGTCTCACACAAAATCGCAAAGACACTTTTTGGAGCGAGTATTGGGTGAGGAGGAGGTGCTTTGACGTCATGGTGAGTCAGTGCCTAGTGAACGCTACCAATGTCTGCAAATCCTCCGCTCACACACACACACACACACACCAGGTACTGTATGACAGTCACCAGACCCGTATCTCCATCACCAAGCCCATTTCAATGTCAACAGATTCGTGGGGGTGATGATGGAGGTGAAGTAACATCCCCTCTGTACTTGAAGCTATTGTATGAGATACCCCCGCCACACACACACACACGTCAGTCCATTTCTGCAGTTTCTCATCGAGATAGTTAGTACCCGCCTCGGCCAAAAGGTATCCAGGTAATCGTTGAGGATGGCAGAGTTACTGGCTGCTCGCATACCATGACGCCCCAGTCGCTGCCAACTGACACACCAACTGAGGTTGAAACTCCAGTCTTACTAGTAACACACCAAGGTGACCCTCCGCCCCGGGTCCTTGTACCAAGACCTAGTCGCCTGAAGAACCAGGTGGTCCTTACGTCTTGTTCTGAGTAAAGGTCCCCTACACTTTAAAACAAAATCATAATTTCCGACACAAAGACCCAGACACCTGGTAATTCATTAGGTAGGTTCCTGGTAGTGATCGGCAGTGGTCCACGGTATATGAGTACATAGCCTATTTATTCTGGAGAGCACCTTGGTGTGGTACAGTATAGTTATGGATGAAGGATCAGTCTTGATGTTCAGTGGTTATGGTTAAGGAATACAGTAGTTGTGTTACTTTAGGTCTGCGTTTATATAAAAAAAACGGGTATGTTGCTATGATTGTTTTGGTGTATAGGAGTTAAGAATATCCGTTCCTATGACACATGCTTCACTGTTATATAAAAACTATAATAAGAGAACCTGATGACCAGGATTTAATGAGATGTTATTCCTCAGAGTAATCCACTACATGTTGTTATCCAGAAGGCACTGTAGTGGAGAGTGAGGTGGTCACAGAATTGGTTTTGGCAGATAAACTAGTGTGGTGGAGGTATGTGGCCGGGCCAGCCTCTGTCCTGCACACCGCTGGTTTGACTGTGTGTGTGTGTGTGGGGACTTATTTTTAAGGCATCCTCGGATCGTTTTCCACTGTGTTCAATGTTATATTGTGTTCAGGGATATTTCTCATTGTTTACGTCTTTCAAGGTTATGCATTTCGTTTCATTTCGTTACATTAATTCATACACGCGGGGAGAAACAAGACATGCAAGTTCTGGAAGATCTCTTTTACACAATGATACCAGTAAATAAATTCTACTCAAAATTAATGTATATAACAAGTCTCCATCACCATCTGTTAACCAATTAAAGTTCAAACAAAGAGCCATTATTATATCACACCAGAAACTATGACAGGCTTAACCAAATGAAGATCTCTTGTGCTTGTGTACATGTAGGTCGGTGGCTCGTTCCTCTACTCACAACAATAACAAACGGCGCAGTGCGACAGTATCTTTTACTCGGCTGATGGTACGATTACATTCCACTGAGGTGCCAAAAGAAAAAAAAATTAACTGTCAATGAAAAATGTAGAAGCCGGCCAACGTCTCCGTTATATCAGAAATTTTCAAGGTTGAGCAGTTTAACCTAGACTTGTCTACTGTAGTTGTTACGTCCTGCTCACGGGAGAAGATGGGGGAGCAAGTAGCATGGTAAAGTCAGGTTAGTTTCCTCCTTAATGCGTACTTCGATAAAGCAAATGTGTAGATATTATAGTGGCCCGGACAGCGGGTTCACGTGTGGTTTTACTCCCGAGTTAAGAACTGACCTCGGCTGAGTGGTGGTGACTGTTAAGGCCATCTTTGATATTAAGAGAGTACTGTACTGAATAAGTACCAACTGAGCCACATGTTCGAATGGTGAACTCATAATAAAAGTTATGTAAATAGAAAAATAGGTATTCAGTAAAACTATTACATAAGTTGACACTGATGCAGCATGTACTGTACTGTATACTGTATTGTACTCTACACGGACAGTGTAGGCGTATAAAGTGGCAACATTAAGTTGATTCAACCACGGGTAACCCAAGGAAGTTGATAAAGGCTTATTTGCATTGACATTTACATTTGTATATAAAATTTGAAATACCTGTATACAGAAGCCTGCGTGTGGATATTTTAAGAGAAGTAACCAAATCTTACGAACCGTAATATTATCATTCCTTATAACTCGTGCCCTTAGAGAAGTTCCTCCGATTACTTGTGGTGTAAATGTGTTTTCTGTGGCAGATAAAAATAATAATAAATCCCCAGCTCTAAAAAAAAACAAGATATATATTATATCCAGGAGGCATTTAAAACTTGCAGGCTGCCCTAAAACGGATAAAATATACAGTCTAGTGACCACAACTTTAGCGAAAAAGTGAAGGAGGGAAATTTAAAGGTGCAAATTTATTGGAGATTTTACGCCAAGCAAGTGGCTTTTATTACGGTGAAATGAGTAGGTCAATTACCTACTGTAATGAAACGATGTACCCAGTACTTAGCTGGTGAGAGGTCATTAGGCTGAGGTGTGGTAGCTAGGCTTTTGGTTACAGGTTAAATGACCCCCCCCCCCCCATTCTAACGAGGCCCTAACCTAATCAAACAGCCATTAAGATCATGGGCCATTAGGACTGGGCTCCAATACTAATGTTAAAATTAAGTTGGGATCCAGTAAGACAAGACCCTCGATCCGAGTCATATAGTTAGGTTCGATTAGGGTCCAATGGTTAAATTGGAGCTCTGTATGATATAGGGGAACATTTAACTACTCACGAAGCTTACTGCCAGAGCTAATACGTGGCCAACCGGGAGCATTACTCTTTTTTTCTTTAACGACAGAGATGATGGTCCTTGGGCACATTGTCACTAGTGGTGGCGGTGTCAAAACAATCAGTGTCAATAAGCAATACTTTGTCTGCAAGCAGCAGTGATAGTATTACCAGGTAGTATCATCAGCAGGCAGCAGTGGTAGATGAGGCAGGACGTGGCCACGTGGTAGTGATGTCTGAGAATAACCTGGTGAGCCCCGCCACACTGACCGCAGAAGTGTGGTCACCCCGCTGTGTTTGGGGAGGTTCGCGCTACACTCCTCCAGCCTCTCTCTATTCACACACACACACACATTTGTCCTTCCACCCAGGTTGTCTTCTTCATCAGCGGGACCTCAGAACTCTTTGGGGGCTGGTTTGTTTATCAGACCCCAGGGACAGGTTTGCTCGGGACGACTTAATGGAGAGGAGTAAGTGATGTTTGATATCCATATGTTGGTTCTCGGGGTCCCTGAGCTCGCGTATCATGTTTAGCTCGGTGGTCTCTGCTGTCAGAAGCCACCATGACCCTGCAGCAGCCTAGCTCCGTCGTCAGTCATTCCGCGGTCTTGACGGGTGATACTGAGGCGAGCACGATAGTGTGTTATATTCTTGGAACTGACAAGCTTGAAGTACGATTACGGTAGTTTTCATTTGTCCAAGAAGGCAGTGTGTATGTGTTTGAAGTGTGTTCCTCTTAAATGTTTCCAAGTAACTGTTGCCAGGTAACATGTGGTGAATGGCATGAAGGCGTTAGTGTCAATAAGCCATTAGTCGAAGTGTGGTGTCATGATTCAGGTGGCCGTTCCTCCTCCTCACTACCGTGAC